TATGACTTCCCTCTGCTACAGTCTTTTTGAACCTGTAGTTCCCAGCTTGCAGAAGTCTTTATACCTGGTAACAAATCATCATTTGCTCTCCCTTTTGCCAAATTAAACAGAAGAAAACTCTCTTTTTGGTTGCATAAGATGTTTTAATTGTATGTCGGTTCTCTGCAACGTCTGTGTTTTCAGCATCTCATATGATAGTGGGTACCACAACTGTGTGAGTGCTAGTTTCTCCAATGCAATGTAAAATTACTTCCCTCTTGTTGTGTTGCTTCCCTGAAATGCCACAATATCAGAGAGAAATCTCATTACTTTCCCCTCCATCTATGAATCCCATCTCATCAAAGACAGCCCTTCTGACTGAAGAGCTCCAACATCTGGGACCACATCAGTGCCAAGAACACCTGAACCCAGGGGCTGGTGAAGAGGACAGGGGTGGCTCTCACACACGTGGTGGCCTCATTGCCCAGCCCTGCAGCCAGAGCAGCATTTCCAGCTGTCCAGGTGTAAACTTACACCCTTTCCAAATGTGGGAAAGGCCAGTCTGTTGAAACCAGGGCAAGTGCAGTTCTGCTGCTCCTTTTATAAATCATGTGGGAAGCTCTCTAATTCCACCCTGCGGCATTTACATGTTTAATCTCCTTTTGCTGTTTTTTTGAGGTTTCTCACAAATGCTTCTGCCTCAGGAGATCGTGCCCAAATGTCGCTGCCACAGTACAGCCTGACCTTTTCCTGAAAATGTTGTGTTGCCTTTGTCACAGCTCCCAGGTGCTCCCTGCTCACACTTCAGGGTGAGACGTGCTCACAGACTCCTGCAGTATGAAGGCAAATTACTGAGACAAGTTGTTTATTTCAAATGGCATCTTCTGGCTGTGATTTGGATCCTGCTGCAAGATTTCAGTGGATGGAACTGGTGTAGGGTCCCTCTGAACTCAATTACTTCTAAATCTTACAAATGTTATTTGTGTTAACAAAATCTCTTATTTTTTGAAGAAAATTAAGTGAGGTCACTAGAGGTCTGAGTTTCTTCTTGCCTGCGAATGGAAGCAGGATTCAGTTCCAAACAGAAAATCTTTGCTGGAAAAAGTACTGATGCTGTCTTGGCAGCTTCAGTACAAGAGCTGGCCAGGGGTCTGGAGAGGGTTCCTTGGCTGTTCAGTACAAGTGCCCCTGTATTGAACTCACATGCAAGGAAAGATCCGTTTCAATAAATCTCTTCTAAGGTCTGTCAGTGATTTGTCCTCTTTCCTCCCCTTTCTCCTCTCCCTCTGCTACAAACATCCTTTCCATTCTGCTTTTTCAAGTGTTCCCAGCCTCTTCTTGTGTGTCAGGAAGCAGCATGGGGCAAGCAACCCTTTGCAGAGCAGTCAGGATGGCTGGGACACCCAAGGGACAGGAGGCAGCACCTTGGCTGAAGTGAGCAGTTATTCCAGTGGAGAAACATGTTTGCATTGAAAGGGTAATCACCCATTCGTCCAGGAGAGTTAAACAATAGGGACAGAGATTTGGTTTTCTCCAGTTTTTTCCCAAAGAAAAATTATTTATTTCTTCTCTCTCAGATTTATGTCTTCTCTCTGACTATTGGATGGCTACTGAAGAGTTCATTAGAGACACCCTTGCAGCTGCCAAAAGAACCAGCTGGATTATTGAGCCTGCAGCTCATTTTTTCTGCCTTTGTTCACTTCCTACAGTGAAGAACTAGTTTGCAATCCTTGTTTGTGCTGTCTATCCCACATGGTGGGGGACTGCTCTGTGCAGAGTGTGTGTCCCCAGCCCAAAACACTGCCCCTACTCATTGTGATGACTTCTGATGTTAAACTCTGGAGCACACCTTGCTCCCTGTGCTGCCTGTAGGTACCACAACAATCACACACTCATTTCACACTGAATTTTGGCAGCAGTTGGTTTTGTGGTCCTGTGTCCCTTGCCAGGGGATGTGCAAAGCCCAGCACAGCCCAGAGATGTGGGGCCCAGGAGTCTGAGTGTGCCCAGGACTGGCCCATCCTGCGTGTCCCACGTGTGCAGACCAAGGACAGAGCTGCTGTTCCCTCATTGCCTGGCAGGGGCTGTGGACTCCCCCAGTCCCAGGAGGTTGTTGACTGCAAAAAAGGATTCAATGTCACGCAGCTTGCCAGGTAGGCTGACAAATCCATAAGTTTCCCGAGGCAATGAATGAATAAACAACTTCTGATTCATTGTGGGGAGCCAACCCTTTCTGAGAAGGAGGAGGAGAGGACTTTATTTCTTTACGAAGTGAAGCAGAAGGGTGGTTTATAGAGTGTGAACACCAGAGAAGATTTCGGGGTAGCTGTAGTTTATTTGGCCACAGATTGAAATTTAACTTAAAGCAATGCCTTCAGTCTAGAATTAACTAGGAAGAACTTCTTGCCTTATTCCAGAAAGCTATTGGTAAAAATGCATGATCAAGTGCACTGCAGGCGCTTGAAAACCATGTGCAAGTATGCAGGGATTTATGTACCAAATATTGTGTGTATTAATGCACAAACCCTATGCAAGTATCCACCCAAACTCAGTCCCTGGTGATCAAAATCCTTTTATCCCCTGACCTGTGATGGGAGCTGTGTTTATTCCTGGCTGAAGATGTGAGCACTGCTGGCATTAATTCCATCAGGCTGTTCTGTAAATTCTTCATCATCTCCTGCACTGCTGTCAGTTATTTGCATTGTAATATCTGACTGAAAACCTGAAAATTAGATTTAGGGGAAACTGGACACTGAAGCACTTTGCTCAGGTGATAATTTCATTTACTCTTAAGACATTGCTTACACCTAAATGTGAACATATCCTTTGTTCCTCCATAATACACACTCCCAGGCACATAATATCTCATTTAATTTGATTTTTAAAGTGTAATTTTAAATGTCTGAGCAGCTGGTGGACAAAAATCATTGGATCAACTTTGAGAAATAAAGTGCCAGATTCACTGGGAACACCCAGTGACACCACTGTGTTACAGCACAATATTAAATAGACTAGAGGCTTCCCAACTGGCTTCAGGAATCTGTGCATTAAAATTTAAAACACAGTTGTTATTTGTGAAGGTGACAGGGATAACACTGACCTGGATTTTCTGTATCAAGCATGTCTCTACTTAATTGGTTTCAGTCAGGATTTTCAGCTAGTCTGGTATGCATTAACCACAAACTGTGCTGTCTGGTGAAGCAGCTTTTCTTTTTGGAAACACAGATGTGTGTTCTGGTGCTCTGAATTAGTGGGGTTACAGTAATTCCTTGTGATGCCAGGGTGGAAGTTTCACCATGAGTCACACCATAGTTGACATCTGGGCTCTGTTGCCCAGCTGGCAGGACTGGAGCTGTGGAAGCCTTCTGCAATATGAAAGTTCTAAAAAAATGTCTAACTTGTCATGGGCTCTGAACTCATCATATAGCTCCTTACTTGCCCTCCCTATACAAGCTGATTTTTTATTTTCCCTAAGAAAATGAGAGGGGAAAGGATTCAATTTAAGGATCAAATTGTACCTTTCTCATTCAATATAGAATTTTGCATATGAGTAAAAATTTTTTTCTTTTTTTATCCAGATTTGCATGTTCTAAATGAGCCCTTTGGATTATCATGGCAGTTGTTGGTACAGAGGGAATTTATAGGCACTGAGAAATGCCTGTAAGAAGAAGTGTCATGCGCACACATGAGTGCATTATCTGCAGGGCTTTGGGAACCTGCTGGGGTTTTGCTAGCACGTGGGAAAAAAACACACCAGAAAATTGAGAAACTAGGTCATGTGGATTCATTTGCTGCATCTTTGCAGCTGGGCTTTTGTTGCTGCTCAGGCTGACATATCCGAGCTCGCACAGACTGTGCTGCAGCAGGATTCTGTGGCCTCCTCCACGCCTGCTGTCCCTGCACTCAGCGTGTTCAAACGCCTGGGTGTCTGGAGGGCCCAGCCAAGGGCAGGGCTGTGTGGAGCTGCCTGTGAGCTCTTAGGAGCAGTAAGAGGCTGCCTCTGCCTCAGTGAGGGTCCCTGCAAGGTGCTACAGGGAAAGGCACTGGCACACAAGGGGATGTACTCAAGCTCCGGCAGAGCGGTTGGCAGAAAGAACAGCCAGCTGTGGGTCCAGGTGTGCACTCACCTCCCTGCACTGGTCTGCCTCTCACTTTATGCTTCTTTGGCTACTTGTTCCTCCATTCCTTTTTTTTCTAGACAGCACAAGAGCATCTCCAGTCTAGGCTGCTTTTCTTCCTCTATGCCAAAACCTTCCTGAAAAATTTGCCAGACTGTTTTTGGGGCAAGTACTAATTTGGTGGCTGGGCTTAAATTCAGTATAATCTCATTCTATTGGTAAATAATGATCAGAATGACTAAACTGTGAAGCTGAGATTATAAGGAGTAAGTACATTGCTTGTTTGCACAACGCCAACAATGGTTGTGTACTAGAAACAACCATTCTTTCATCACATGAATATATTTTCGTACTGTTAATTTTCCTGTACAAAAAATTTATTTTCTCCTGTGTCAAGGAAGTTTGGTTTCATTCCAAGTGCCCAATGGGTTTTCTCTCCTGTAATTGGATTATTTAGGGAATGAGACTGTTATGGGCTGTGCACATCTTGGTCTGTCCTTTCCCCTTCCCTGAGAACTTGTGATAGGAGGGGTGGAGAACCACTAAGGTTTTAAGTTCCTCTGAGCTGAATGTACAGCAAGAGCTCCCAGAGAAGAGATTCTGTTAGCACCCTGCTCTATGGTGAGAGCATAAGTCACAGATTCTCCCCTTACTAAGCTCTTGAGATCCCCACAGGACAGGATTGATATGTCCCAGCTGAAGAAGTTTTGGTCAGGCCCGTGCTTTGGTTAGCACCAAGGTCATACAAGACATGATTTCTCCTTGCAGACCCGTTTATTGGCTGGTTCAAGTGAACAGTGTGAGTATTCTTCAACTTGTAGTCTTCTGTAGAAGATACAGACTGTATCAGAGCAACAGACAATATACCAAGCACAACACATATTTTATCATCTTTTATTTTAGGTGGAAAAACTGGCAAAGTACTTGGACCCGAATGATTTGGGAAGAATCAATTTTAAGGACTTCTGTCACGGAGTTTTTGCTATCAAAGGTATGTGCATATTTCTTAAAAATAATCCAGTTCAGTTCCACTAATGTTTCTCTGGTTGCAGAAAATGTAATGATCAAAGACATCCTCTCTTTTAACTCTGGTTATTTGTAGTGACAGTAGAGCAGCTCTGGGAACAGAGCCAGGATATTTTTCCATTTTGTGCATCTCATGTATTAATGGTGAGCAGTGCTAGAGTTCCTGCATCCATAGGTGCTTGGGCATTGGTTTACTGCTAATTTTTGTCAGAATACATGTGTTGTGGTTTAAAGACAAATACAGCAGAAGAAAGAGTAGCTTTGTGGTTGACAGGGCCCAGGTTTGATACTTCCAGATTCTGATCTGGTTCTGCCACTGATTTACCTCAGGGAGTTAGGGAGCCCTTGGGCTTTCAGTTCTCTACTAGGAAATTTAAGACTATTAAATTGGCCTTGAGGTATCTGAAAGGTATAATTAATTCATGTTGTTGGGGTACCTGGGGTCATGTATTGGAAGGAAGAAAGTTAATTACAGGTTGGTGATGAAAACCCTGAAGATTGAGATCAGGTGGATCCAACCACCTCCTTTCCAAGGAAACAGTCCTTGACAGAAGACACAGATGTGGTTATGCTTTAGAGCTTAGCCTAAAGGCAACAAAAAACCAGTGAGGAGGGACTTCAGCTGATTTGCTGCTGATTGCTTTTCCCATAGTGAAATAATCCATCTATTCTGGACATGTAGTGTGTCCTTTCTAAAGTGTTGGAGTGAAGTCATAGCCCAGAGGCTTCACTCAGGGACAGGGTGAATGTCACAGTGATCGTGGTATGGTTCCAGGAGAAGCCTCTGGAGAGTCTTCTCTGATGAGATTATTATGAAGCTATAATGATGCAAAAACGTAAAACCACGGTACTTTTAATTAAAGTTTATGGCTGCCAAAGACAGTGTATAATTAGGTAAAATTACATTGAGAGGCTGCTCTTATCAATGTTTTTGGAGACACCGTCCAAGGTGACACTGGTGTGTTTGAAGAGAAGGCAAGAGAAAGCCCAGGAGGAAAGTTATTACATTTGTGCACAGACCCTAAAGTCTTTTATTACATTTGTGCACAGACCCTAAAGTCTCTGCTTGGGGTTTTCCTTGAGCAGAAAACGCTGTAGCAAACTGACTTCTAGTTTAGGTAAGATACAAGCTCTGTAAATCATCTGGTGTCTTCTGTAATTCACAGTCTAAAGATTGCACAAATGCACAAAATATGATCAGGAAGGGATAGAAATGACCCAGAACATCTCTTTGTGGCAATTGTGCCCTTCTCCATGTACCAGCAGTGATGGAGTGGGCAGGTGCATCTCCTTTACTGTGGGGACAGCGTGAGAATATTGAGTTATCAGTCATAAGGCCTTGGGGGTTTTCATGCTTGCTCACCTTGTGGGAGCTAATTCTCGTGTTCATATCCTAAGGTTTAATCCTGCAAAGAGATATGACCAGGACAAATTGGTGTACCTTGCACTCCAAGTTTATGAGCAGCTTAAAGCCCAGCTGTGGAGCATGTAGGGTCCAAATCATTTGTGTGATGGTTGTTAGGATGTATCTGTGAACAGATGTAGAGAAATCATCCAGTTCTGCAGCATCACCTAGAGCTCCCTTAGCACATCATTAGCATTTCAACACTTACACAGACTCAGTGCTAAGTGTTTATCATCCAAGCAGCAGCAGCTGTATCTATTTCTGATAAGACGCTGTGCTGCATGTTTTCACAGCTTCTCTTTAGAAAAACTGTTTCTATTGCTCGCCTCATAGCATGGAAATTTTATTCATCTTTGGCTACCTGCCATATTTTCCTTAAAAATTAAATTGGTTATGTTAAAGTTCAGAAAGGGCATGTCTGCCTTTCAGAATGGAAAGCCTCCACCATGTTGTTTTAGTGCAGCCACATCCCAAGGGGAGTAGCAGGCTTATTATCAAACAAAAGCAATTTGTCTTGGCAGCAACAGATTATAAATATGATTCTTTGACATCTCAGCCTATTACAATTGCTTGGGGCACTCAGATTAATAGAGCAAAATGAGATGCTACTATAAATCCACTGGGGTTTTCAGTAATAGAGTATGAAGTTATGCTATTCTTAGCAATGGAAGCCAAATGTTTAAATTCAAGCTTTACAATCCTAATGCCTTACTATATTTCTTATTTATGAGATTTCAAATTAATTTGTCTTAAAAATGCTTGCCTTTATAGTATGGCGATGAAATTGTTTGCTGCACAGAGGTGATATAATGTCAAGGTTTTTTGGTGGATCAGTGCCTTGAATTTATTTAAATCATGAGACATCTAAGAGCAACAGATTCAAATCAGAGTTGACCTCTGATGATGTTGGTTTGAGCATTTCATATCCAGGGTTGGATTTCTGTGAAAAGCTAAATACTGGAACTTGAAAAAATCCCAAACACCTAAGTGTTTAATGCTCTGTAATTGGTTGATAGAGAAACTCTTACCCCTGGATCTAAAATCTGCAGCTTGGCCTCTCTTCTCTGTAAACCAGTGCATTGTTTACTCTTGCATGTATACATGAAAAGTGTTGTGTTCCTCCACAAAAGGCCACCAAGCCTTGTTTCCTCCTGGAGCTGCATAAACCTCATGACATATGGGTCATGTAGCTCTGCAGCAGCTGCTGGGACTGTCAGGTGGAAAACAGTTAATTTCCTTCAGCTGCTGAGTGGCAGGAGGTGTGGGTAAGGATGAGCAATCTCACTGACAGTACAGGACCTTGGGGAGCGGTGGAGAAGATGTGTTCAAGTGGAGGTAAGTATGCTAGAGGGCAGAAAGTGTTGGAGGAGCTCCTTCCCACTTTGTCTCTGGGGTGGAATACTGGACAGGTATGGTGCTTGCTGTTTATGGAAAGCTTTGCTTCTTTTGCTGATCTTTTGTGGATTAAAGGAATTTGCCTCAGCATCTGTGCTGAGTCCCTGCTGTCCAGGCTGCTTTCCCTATACAATTAGGCTTTGCCAGAGCCAGGGATAGGCTTGCCATCAAATTGAAAGCTTTGCAGCAATTTCATTGGAATGCCAGAGTATGAAGGTTTTACTTGTGCTCAAGCTGCTCTCTCTATCTGCTGCCTGCAGGGTTTTAATAACTGTCTGCCTGTAGAGCAATTGCCATGAAATAACACCTGTAGCCTCTTACCCAAGTGCTTTGTGGCACTGCTTAGAGACACTGAGAGCAGCCAGAATATCACTCAAAGGCTGAATTCCCATTAATTTCAGCAGGGTCAGCATGGGAACCATTACTGTTTGCTCAGCAGAGCCAATGAATGTTTTTGCTGTTCTGAATTTATATTGTACTGATCCAGTAAATATTTTCTGCCACTTGTAATACTTAAAAGCTTGAGTGGAGCTGTTAATTCCCTGTGCTCTGCAGGCTGGTGGGTTCCACAGTCAGATATGTTTGCAGGACCAGGCTCTAATTGAGTCTGACCTGTTCCTTATATTTTAAGATTTCTATTGTCTTTCCAATAGTCTCTTTACTTTGATAGTCTGCTTGAAAGTACCCAAACCCTGACAAATAAAGGGGGAGCTCCCCCTACTGCCCTCGGTGTTACAGCTCACAGTGATAAGAGGGTACTGTATGAACACAGAATAATACAGAATTAAAATACAAAGACAGGTGTATTCTGACTTTATAGCGTATTTTAACCATGAAAACAGTGCTGACTGCTGTGTAGTGTTTGGAGGGTCATGGCTTTTATAACGTGAGAGACTGAGCCACGTCAGCACAGAGCATTTCTGCATTTATGAATCTGTGTGCTTTAGCAGAATCACTGTTTTTTGATTAAATCATACAGCCTGTTGTTCTCCTGCATCAAGGGAGTCTTTCCCTCATGTTGTAGAAGTTTTAAGGACATTTTAGTTGTGTTTGGTTATGGAATTTGAAAATGGAGAGTTGTAGGGGCTCCTTCATATCATTAACAGTGTGGAAGAAGCACAGCTGTGAATTTATACACTTCCCCACCTGCAGCAGTAGCAACCTTTGAATCTTCAAAATAGTAACCCAGACCATTCTGTGCCTTCAAAAATCTGTTTCTGTGCTTCCCTAGATCCTAAGGCATCTAATTACTGCAGTTGGTTGCAAAGCTTCTAGGAGCAAGCTAATATATAAGCACCTAAAAGTTAAAAAGTAGATATGTTTCTCTGTGAGTTCCTAGCACTTTTTAATGAAAATTCCAAGAATATAAATTTACCCAGTGTTTCAAAGAAATGTTCCAAAAGGGGTGTTGGCTGTTCTGCTAGCTCAGACTATGACAGGTTATTTGGACTGTGAAATAATATGAATATAATACAGTATGGAATTTGATGGTGTTTTTTCAAAACAAATTGTTCTAAAGCAGAGTATTTCTGGCCGTCTGTTTCACTGGAGAGTATTTTTTTCTTAATAGCTTTTATAGTTTCATTCAGATGCTCCAAGCACACGTATTTCTCACAAAACCAGTGCCAAGTTTTGGCCATCTCCTCCAGTTAATTATAAAATCTAATTTGCAGTCCCATAGCTGAGAAAAGAGTTTTACCAGCTGTGACCTGAAGATCCAGGACTAAGAGATGGGTATGTTGCAGTCATGTAAAAGGGAGTTTATTTGCCTGTAATATCTAGGACCAGGACAGCTGCACCAGCATGGGAATTTCAGTAAAGCACATCAGAAAACCCCAAAGTCTACATGAACCCATTTAGGTTCGTAGCTGTAGATCTCAAGCTTCAGTGAGGCTGTGACTGGAAATGATCTGATGGATCTATCTGTTCTGGTAAGAATAACTTACTGACAGGGGTGGTGCTTGGGATGGCTCCAGGGACAAGGACTGTCAGTGAGTGTGAAGAGCTGAGCTCTCCTGGAATTAATTACTTTTAGATGCTCAATGAACTGAAATTGGCTACTCCTGAAAGTACTTGTAAGTTTTCTAAGACTTCACTAAATTTCACTAAATACACCCTGAAACCATAAATGAGTCTAATACACCACTAAAGATCCAAGGGCAGATAAAGTAAAAAGCTCTTGCTGTTAGGAAAAATGCCAGAAACCAAGGACGTTCAATTAGATATCCAGATTTGATTTCCTATCGTATTAAAATTGCCTAATTGCCTGTGAAAATTGTCTGATGTGTTACGGGTTAAATCTCCTTCTTGGAGAAACAGCTTTGTGAAAATTGAGTTTGTGGCCAGAATCTTTGTTTGCAAATTGAATGTTTGTTAGGGTGGAAAAACCATTTTTAAATAGAACTGATTGTAAACTCATAAAATTATCTCATAAGGGATATCATGTCTAGCACCTGAGTGAACTGAAAAAGTTAAAGGTTGTTGTCTTCCCCCTCAGAGACTTGTAAAAGACTTTCATCCTCTTTGCTTAGGACTGAAGATGAGCCTGTTCTGGCCAAATGAATTGTGTTTGCTTTAGCATTTGTAGTATTAGGATAAATATTTTTAACTCAGATAATTTTGACAGACCAGGCTAGAGAGTGACTCAGTGCTTTGTTAAACTAGAACTCGTACACATCCACGTTTCAAAGAGCCTCTTGAGTGGACAGAGAAGCTGCTTCTGTGCTGGCTCATCAGGTGCTTTTAGCCAGGAAAGAAAATTCAGCAGCTTCTGGCTACTCTCATTTTGTGATCTGATTGTTCAGTCCTTTCTCCAGACACAAGCTTGCTGCCAGTGTGTGTCACAGTGAATTACACTGAGCACAGCCTTTCACAGTGTTTCTCCACAAAGGGCACCCTTCAGTGGGGCTGCAGCATGGGTGCACAAGGACCTGAAGCTATTCCTGGCTTACTCTTTCCTCTCTCTGCTTCCTCACTGTTATTGCAGTGCAGCTAGGTCTTCTTGCCAAGTGCTGCCCAGAAATGTAGATGAAATTTTCCCAACTGCAGCAAAGGAGAGAGAACATTGAGCACATTAATATCTTATGATACAGGTAGACATCCAAATGAAATGTCTCTAATCAGCCATGTAAGTGGCTTTCAGTTCTACTTTTTCTGGGAAAATGAATTTATAGCAATAATAGGACATCTCTAGTGCAAGAGGCCCTTAAAGTAGCCAGGAATTATTCCTTTGCTTCATTGCAATGGGTTATTTTTGGACAGATTCTAGCCTTGGGTGCACACTGCTGCACAGCTTGAAATATCCACCATGGCAGTTCTGCAGATCTCAGCACATGGGGTTCTGCTCAGGAGTGGTTCTGCTAACAAAGAACAGATCTTTGTCCAGTACCTTCCTATTTCCATGTTGAGATTTGCCAGAGTAAACCTTGATTTGTTGTTGTTTTCTGTCTGGAGTGTGACACACTAATTTAGCTCACTGCACTTCCCAGGCTGCAAGTCAGGATGTGTTCCAATAAGAACATGTCCTAGGTAATAAGAGCACACATGGTGCAGCATTTGAGACACTCCAATGTTCTCTCTTTATGTTACACCATTGTGTAACACTCCTGGAGTACCTGAAAAATTCAAATTAGATATTTAGATGAGGGGAGCAGAAGGTGAGATTGTATTGGCACTGGTGTAGAAAAAGACTGAATAAGAAAGCTGATTCATCACCTGACTTGCTTCCTGGTGAAAAGGGATGAAGGAAGGACCAAGGAAAAGACCAGCATCAGTCCTCCAGAGTGAAGAGATTCCAATTTGTGTCCTCACAGAGAAGAGGAGAACGGAGAACTTGTTCTTAAAACTCAGTTCTTAACAGGGATAAAAAAAAGTGGCAGAGTCTTGAGATTTTTAAAGCCAGTGGCCATTTTTTCATTGATTTGCTGGATGTTGGAACAGGTTCACATGTCTGCAAGGTAGTGATGATGTGGTTTAGTAATCTCAGAGGAAAATGGTCTCTCAGCATTTCCTTCTCTTCTTCCCTTTCTAATGGAGTATGACATGCAGATCTTAATGACATGCAGATCTTCCCAGGAGGATGAAGAGAGCCAGGCTGTCATGCCAGCTTGCATGCAGAGCAGTGCACAGGGGATACTGCCTGCTGCACACCCAGACATCTCCCCACTAAAAACTCCCCTTGGCAGCAGGAGAATGGCTCAGATGAACTTATGCCCTGAATCTGCCAGCACCGATGGAAACTTGGCCTGTGACTACACTAAAAGCAAGATTTGGCTTTGTTTGCCATTTTAAGCTATGCAGTTTGGTGATCACCTTGCATCAAATGGCTGCTGATGTTCTGGAAGTGGGTTTGGTGCTTGGCCAGGTTCTGGATCAGGCGTAAAAGCCTGGGTCAGGTGGCTCTGGTGAAGTGGTGAGGTCAGTTGGATGCAAAGGAGGCAATGCTTTTCTCCCCAGTGTTTTTACTGAATAAATCAAGAGCTATCATGAAGTGGTTCTCCCTAATGGACAAGTGAAATGAAAGAATGTGATCAGGAGGAATCTTAGATGAGAAATTAAAAGCAAAGAGGGGGCACAGAAGACTACATTTCAGACCCTGGAGATCTGGGAGCTGTTTGTGACTCTAGCTCTAACAGACCAGACTGGCTGGCCTTTTGAAACGAGGCAAGCTAGAAACATTTCTCACACCCTTGTTTTGGGCAGTTAAATCCTTATTTGAAGACCCACAACTTTTGTGACTTTTCCCCACTAAAAAAAAGAAAATTGGGAGAGAATTGTGGTTAGCACAACTGTATTAGGAAAGTAAAGCTTGGAATTATGGTGTAAACTATTGTTGAGAAATTTTAGAACACTGTAAACATACTCTGTTCATTACACTAATCTGCATCCATTAATGTGTAGCACTTGGTCTTTATTTTCCTTTTTTTCTGGAGGTAACTCACTTTAAGGAGTAGTTGCTCCATGTCATGCAGACCTTTTAGCAAAGCAGTTCATTCATAGTGTGATGAGTCTCACTGTTGGTGCTGGCACAAGGCAGTTTGATGAGCAATAAGCTTTAGTTGTTAATGTCAAAAGGTAGAAACAATAAATTGAATTTTCCTCTGTGAGAGGACTAGCAAATAACCTTAGGCAAGTACAGAGCACTTGAAGAGAAAGAAAAGGATTATGACTGGGTGGGAAATGTGACAGGTAGGGCAAGTTATGTAGAAAGATGCTCTCTCCAGGCAAACAAGTTTAACATCTTTCCCCTGTCAGCCAGTAGATTATGTTTTTGATTGTTAATCCCAGATAAACTCCTCTTTGGGAAGTGACCCTACCACACATTCTTGCCCATGTACTTCTCCAGCAAAGTGGGTATTTAACAACTTCATTTATTCTCATTTATCTGCTCAGTAACACCTGAGACTCTCACTTTGCTGCAGAAGCTGAAAAAGGAAGAAAAAAGTCTTGCTGCCTTTGTCCATGTGACATTTCTGAAGCCTTAATGATGTCTCCATTCAGCAGGTGCTACCTCGACATGTGCCTGTGTGTGGCAGACAGGGACAGCCCTGCGATCCCTCTATTAGGCTTCTCCATCTGGTCATTTTTTCTGGTTTCTAAAGTACTCCTTTCCTTTGCAAGGGGACTCCTCTCAATAACCACCACATGTCTTCATCCCTACCGATGTTATTCCTTCATGTAAAACCAGGAGAAAAGGTCAGCTAATGGTATAAACGTGTTCAGTTCACACTTCCTTCCATCGCCCTGTTTCCTCTGGCTCGCTGCTTTGGGAGTGGTATCCATGTGTAGTGTCACAGCCAAATATATTGCATTAGTGCTGGGATGGAAGGGAGGAATAACTGCTGGGCAATTGCAGCTTCCAAGTAGTATAGTGCACAACACATGCTGAGAAGGTTCACACAGTCTGGGCCCAAGGCTGCGTGTGAGCTGGGTGCTCTAAAATAACCTGGCCTGTCATTACTGCCTTCTGCAGCTCTCCCTGCCAAGTGGAGTCACTGGTAATTAATGGGGAACGAGGCATCTGGTGATTTCAGTGTTTCTATATTTGTCTCAGGTTTTCAGATGAGAGAAGGACCGAGGGAAACACAGACATTGATTTTTCCAGCTCTTAATGTGGTTGTTAACAAAAGCAAACACACAAGCTTCAAATCTCTGGTTACAGTGCATAGATATTTGCTTGTGAAACACTCTGTGACAGAGCTTTTTTTGAAGGTGGATTTGTGACACTGAGGCATTGCCCCTTTGTCATTTTGACCAGAGAAAATTAGAAGCAGCTCCAGCTGACACTGATGTGCAGCAGTTGGTAGCTCATGCCAAGCCTGCAAATCCAATGTTTGACTCCAGAGCCTGGGTTTGGTTAGAGGTGGGTTTGTACCCCACGGGTAGTTTACCAAGCCAAGCAATGCTCAGCTTTCAGTTTCATTGCAGGCTAGTGTAGCCATGCTGAGATAATTGAACTTTTCAAGTTCCACATGTTGAATGTGTGTTGGGCAGAACTCTGAAGGCAGAGTCGTGTTACACCTATTGAAATAAATCCCAAAGCTGCCTTCCAGTTTTGTGCATGCAGATTGGCTACAAACCAGTGTTTCTTCCTCCATTGTCCATGTAATGGAAGATAAGCTTTTGGCCTGACCATTTCCTCTTGTTTCTCTTTGCCAGGCTGTGAAGAGTTACTAAAAGATGTCCTGTCTCCTGAAAACTCTGAGCCCCAGCACTACCAGCCACAATATGTTGATTACTATTACCAGGTAAGAGAAGCACTATTCGGTCTCCTGTTAGTGGGCTGAGGAAGCCTCTGGAGTGATGTGTAGTTGGATCATTGTAAATGTTGTTGTTTTACTTGGCCTATTGACTCTTCCTTCCTAGGTTCATGGTTGTTAGCAAGCCAGCCATACTGTTTAACTGCATTTAATACGGGTTAATTGGTGGGAAAGTATTTAGCATTTAGGTAATGTTCCTCTTACAAGCCTGAGCATTCACCTGGCTGTGAAGGGAGATCCCTGTACAAGCTCGCTGGCACCTCACAAGTGGAAAACACTGATTTGTATCTAATTAAATCAGTCAAACTTTGTAGGTGAACAAGTCCTTAGGGACCTTCTGCAGATAATAAACAGGGCCTCAACAGCTGTTGGGAAGCAGAAACAATACACCACTGGAAACCTTTGCTATTATTTTGGCTGGTGGGTGTAGCATATTTTAAACCATTAAAGGTCCTCATTTGTATCCTTAATTTGTCAGTGTCTGTGCAGCCTAAGAAGTAGAGTGCTGCTAAGTTTTCCTTTTAGCATCTCTTTGTCCCCCTTTCTTCGCTTTACTTTGGTTTTAATCACCTCCACCCACGTAAAGATTAAAGGTGCAGTTAGCATCGTGCTTTCAGAGAAGGATTGTGTGTCACTGGTGTTACAGACTGCAAATGATGCAGAAATCAACAGGAAAAGCATGTTACCTTCACAGGTAGTGAAGTGTGAGGACAATTCTCACGTACTGAGGAAGGATGTGATAAGTGTGCTGGTGAGCTGCAGTTACACAGAACGGTTTCACTGGCCGTACAAAAAATACAGAGACATTTCCTGCACCTCAGTGCCCATCGCCACTCTGCTTGTTTCTAAACCCCTGGTTTTTGTAACTGATGACACAGATACCCACCATGCTGTTGCTTGGTTACCTTAATAGACGCCATAAACCAAACTCCTTGGTTTGCAGTAGCTGATAGAGGCTATAAAATGTGAACAGGCTCTGCACACAGTCGATGTTCCCCTGTTGCTATGCAGACTGGTTCTGACACTCTTTGAATGCAGGTGACATTGGGTCTGGGTCTGTATTCCTTAGAGATTTCACATCTGCTGTCATGCAGAGATGTGCTGGGGGGAGCTCTTGAAGACAAACTGCAAAACTCTGCAAACTGCACCTCTTCTGCCATCCGTCCTCTGGGAGAGCCTGAGGGTTGGAATTGCAGTTGCTAATCCTGGTAACAGCTGCTGAGTTTCCCATTTGAGTGCTGGATTTGTGCCTCTGGGAGAGGGAGGGGGCAGAGGGCGACCCTCCCTGTTCAGAAAGAGCTGATCTGGCCCTGCTGTGCTGGAAGCCTTGCTGGTCACTCCTGATGTCCACCAGCCCCCTGGATGGTCCCTGCAGGGGGTGGCACCACTGCAGTGGGGTGCTGCAGCAGTGTTTGTCAACTTTAATAGACCAAGTGTGGGATTTGTGCAGCCTGGGAGCAGAACCAGGTCCTTCCACACCTGCCCAGGCCAGGTGAGCTGTCGTGGTGGGAGAGAACAGGGAATGGTGCGCACTGTTGTACATCCCACGCTTCTCCCACGGCTCTTCTGCACCGCTGCTCTCCAGAGGGGCTCGTTCCATCTCCCATCGCCAGGTCCTCCAGGTGCAGTTTGGAAACTGTTCGCTAGATGTCAGCTAAAGACAGGGAAAAGGCGTGAACAGCCTCTGCTCGTGCCTTAAGGATCCTCTGCTATGGCAGGAAGCTGGAATTTTCTCACTGATGAAGCTGAGGAGAACTGAGGGTTTGAGGCTATCACCATTCATGGCGTTTGTTCCCCGTTCCCAAAATAAAACATACGGCAAACGTATAAGCTGTCCTTGCATCTCCCAGAGCTTAATGGGTGTAAATTCCGGGTGCTGTAATCAAGTATGTGGGCAGCTCCCATTGGCACAAATGGTAGTTGCCTGTCTAATCTGATTTTCAGCCCAGACGCCCTTTGCATGTCTCTCTAATTCTCATGTGCACTCAAATCTCCAGGCAGCAGGAGGACACGACTGCTGTGATGGTACAAATAGATACTTCAAAAGGGAATGCAGCTTTTTTATTCCACCCAAGGGGCTGTGCTTGCACAAAGGCAGGTACTGAGCTGGTTCATTGTTATGCTGTCTCTGCACTGAGGACTTGAAAGGAAGTTTTCCGTCCTTTCTTTCACTTTTGCTTCCCCTCCCAAGAGCCCCCTCCCTGGATCGTATCTTTCTGAAGCCCAGAGGCAGCAAACAGAAGAGGTAAAGGTGATTCCAAGAGGTGGGATGAAGTGGCAGGAGCCACTGTGAAGTGCTGAACTGGTCCAGCTGTTTGCATATGTTGAGTCAAATGGGGAAGAAACTGCCAAGCCTCCAGCCTTTAATTAAAATCAACTGAGTGCAATTAATTTAAAGGGATTTTCATATAAAAATCCCTTTAAATTAATTTTTTTTATATATAAAACCCCTTGATACCAGGAGCGTGGAGCATTTCATTTGACATTTTTTAAAATTGTCTGATTTTCTTTTTTGGTTTTCTTTGGTGTTAACAAAGAGTAAAAGCCAACAAGCTTTTAATGGCTGAAGACTTTGTCAAAAAAAAAAAAAAAGGCAGAAAAAAAATCCTATTGTGTAGGCAATTCAAAATGTAAGGGCCATTCCATGGAAGGTTCTTAATGGCCTGTATTGAGAGGCTGTGTGAGTGATACCACAGGCAAACAGAGCCTTTGAGCTCAAGGCTGTTAAGGTGTGATACACAGAACATAAGGAGTGTAACTTTTGTGGGTTGCTGCAGGATGTCCCACTGACTTCCATCAGCATTGATTCTGGCTGCAGAGTGTGTTTTCTCTTTGGACCAGAGACAGCTGGTCCAAAGAAACTTAGGAGGATGGGATTGCAGTTAGGAGATAGCAGTTCTAGAGCCCTTCAGCTTTGGGACCTAGAAATAAACCTTTTCTGTCTGTGAGTTGAGTCTGTTGATTTGGTTAAAGTCTGAATTGTGCTCCATTTGAGGCACTGCTTCAGTCAAGTGCTGTACATTAGTATAATTTCTGTCTCTCACAGCCTTTAGAGAGGTAATAGAAATACTCAGAATTTGCCAGAAGCCATTTTGTCAATCCCAAATTCCTTTCCCAGTGATTGCTGCCATGGCCTCAACTCTTGTTTTGGCTTCGGTTTGAAGCGAGACAAAAGTCTCCCTAGTCCAGTTTGCTTTGTGACGGGCATCTAGTAGCACTTCAGAGCCCTTGGATAGCCTTTTGGAGATGGTAACCAACACAAAGTCCACAGCTGAAGTTCGTGTGTGAAAAGCCAGGCCCAGATTGAGCCGGCTCAAACAAAGGCGAGTGCCTGTGTCTCGAATTTCCAAATGGCTGGCTCCGGGCCTCGCCGGGCACCCAGCCAGCCGGGAGCACTGGCCACGGGGCTCGCGGGGAGCTGGGCTGCCTGCATCTGCGGCTCTCCGGCCAAGATTTGCATTGCAGGCCCCGAGAAGCAGTGTGTGGGTCTGCGTGCTCTTCTGTCTGAGCACCTAAGTTTAGGGAAATGGGAACCAGAGCAGGAGCTCCTGTGTTAGCTCTTCACCTGGTGTATTTTGGCTGCTCAGATTTGAAGGGAGCCTGACTCTAGACCACCCCAGTAGGTGACAGAAGAGGGGGTTGAGTGACAGAGCCTCTCACCATCAGCTAGCAGGGCACTTCTGAGTGTTCCTTGTGAAGGGACAGGCTGTTTTTACATGTGAGTTGTTGCCTTTTCATCTGGAATCAATGGCCAAAAGCCATATGTGCAAACCCAGTGGAAGAGCATATTGTAAGGAACAATAATGGCAGTCCTTGTTTCAAACAAAGCTGTTTATTTCTTATTAACTCTTGCTGTATTGACTTGCCACGTACCTTTTTTTTTTCTGTTCCCATCTGTAAATAAGAATGAATCTGTCTCTTCCCAAAGTACAGGACAATCACTGCATATCAAAGAATGAGCTGTCTTTTCAGTCCTCCGTGTGTTCCCCTGCCTGCCAAGTGATTAATTACACTGTATGAACAGCAGAAAAATTGTTGAAACATGACAAATAAATTGTGTTTGCCTCTGGGATGGAGCTGGGACTGCTGGCTGCTCTGCTGCTTTGAAAATATTTTCAGTAGCAATTAGGAGTCCCTCACCAGCTTCTGAAAAAAGGTTTTTTTTTTTTCCCACTAGCTGCTTGAGGATATCTGCAGACACCTGTGTCAGAGCAGAGGGGACCTTCTGCACTATGAAGACACTGAGATGCAAATGGGTTTTTCACTAGGCTGTGGAAGAAAGTAGCAGGAGAGCCTGTAACCAGAATATTTTGAATTTTAATCTCATATATTCTGTGTTTAGAAGCAATGACTCCACCATTGGAGAGAATAACTGACCTCATTTGTTAGAAGGTTTTTCTTGAGTGTTTTTCCTAACATCAAACACAGATGTTGCTTATCTTAATGTCAAATACATCTTTCCTTCCATCTTCTGTGGCAGCAGTAGTGGAGACACTCCTATCTTTAAAAAAGTACACAAGTGGTTAAGGTGGAAATACCTTTTCAACCAATGGCCAAGAGAAGAAATCGGTCAGTGTGGTAAGGACAAGCAGCATTAAATACATCAAACTGAAGCTTTTTTCCCCTGTTTCTTATCATCCTCCAGTTTTCTCCACCACCCACACACTCTCAGTCACCGCTGGCTCCCATTGTGTTTTCAGCCCTGCAGATGTTCAGTGTGAAGAGTCCTCTCCCTGTGCCTGGGACATGGGGTGTTTCTGCCCCCCTGGCATCACACAGTGCATGTTTGCAAGTTGCTGCCCTTGCCAAGCTGCTGGGGTCTCCTGTGTCCTGCTGCCACCATGGGACCTGTTACATCCAGAAGTCTGTGTTAGACCTAGCGCTCCTAAATCTGCCAGGTTCTCCTTCCCCTCAGCTTCTGCTGCATTCCCTGAGAAATAAATATGTTCAGCATCTCCAGAGATGGCCTTTTGGGAGGCCCAGCCTCA